TTGTGGAAAAAGGCATAAATATATTTACATAGAAAGAAGGTGTATTTGCATCATAATGACTTCATATGGCTCAGAAGTAGACCAGTGAAGAAAGCTACTGGCTAAACTGGATTTTAGCATTGTTTTCCTTAGCGGCAGTGCTTAAATTAGCATGCTAAATGGTGTGCTTTAACTGTTTGCATAGTAAAACCCTGTGAGGGTTACTGTCTTAAAGCACTACTGCCATGCTGTGAAGTCTTTAGTGTCACAACTCTATATACTGCCATAACATGACATCTTTTGAGTGTTTTTTTCGTGCCATAAGCATTACATTTAGAAAACAAAATTTAGAAAATGTGTCCTGAAATCCTCCATTGTGTTCCATTCCATTCTACTGAACTCCACCCAGCTGTTTTTGACATGTCTTATGTAAAAGCCCCTTAAGAAACGTGTCTAATCGGGGTCAGGTGAACCTGAAACCAACCCATTGTCTCAGGGATTCAACAAAACTGCTAGTCTATTTTTAAAAATATGTAATATTGACCATCTCTAAAATATATATAATGCAAGAGAAGAGGCGAGGAAACCGAGAGAGACAGTAAAGGGCAGACAGTCCCTGTGGAAGATTATGTGAGCTTTACAGTTAAGAAAAAGCATAAAGCATGTCTTGAGGGAAAAGGAGTGATATCAGAGGAAGGAGCCATGTGTCAACAAAGACAGCTGGCCTCCCAGATAACTACATAGTCCTTTCCAGAACCCCTACATATATGAGAGAAGGCTCGGAATGATAAATGCAGTGATATGCATATATTACATACTGCAGTCACAGCATCTATCACATATAATAATGCATATTTTTTAAAATAGTGCATATAAAATGGAAGTCAATAGGACAGGGCATCTTTTAAATTCACTATAAATACACAAAGTATTTGTTACTTGCCTTGTTGTTCCCATCTGAAGCAAGATGGATTTTGAACAGTTGAATATTAAATTTACTAGATAATTCTATGCTTTAATGATTTACATGGTTTGTACACATTTAAGATGACACAACCTCAGCAGTCAATTTATTCTATTCCCTGAATCTATATTTGCCCCTCTGGTGGTTCAAAGCTTGTTATGCAAATGAGAATGCATCCCTGGACCAGGGGTGCTTGTAGAATTATTT